TGGGTAAGCGTCTCTGGCCTGTTCCTCACAGGCCATGTGTTTTCATATTTGAGTGCAGAGCTGATGTGGTGACTAGCAGTTTCTCCCTGTGCTAGTGATTTGCAGAAGGTATGAGACCTGACTGCCGTAAGTGGCCTCTTCCCTTTTGATTTTGACATGGTCTCTTTAGTTCTAACTTCAGAGTCCTATTTAGGAGTTAAAGCAATCTACCTGGGAAGAGGAGGCATCATGCATGATGCTCTAGGTGGGCATGGGATGCAGGACAGTGAAGTCCATTCAGAGTAGGGGGTGAAGCCTGGCACAGGGTCTCAGGGAAGCCATAGATGTGCTTTAAGTCAGCCTGTGGTGTTCAGATGGGGGCTATGGCTAAATGTCAGTTTGCTAAATCCTGTGTTTCTCTATCTTCATTTAGCTGCCATCACAAGAGTCACCCAAAAGCTTTGCTTTTGTGTCCTGACTGAGCTGGATGTAACTGAAGAGAGAAGGATGGAGATGAAAAGTGACTAGAGACCAGGAATGACCTTCCCTGAGGCCCAGAAGGCTGGCCACTGGTGGGTCATCTGCTGAAGTTGCCATGACGAGACTTTGTGGAGCCTATGGAGACACTTCACCAGAGCCCAGCCTTCTAGAACTAAGGGAGCCTGTTTGCCCATGTTATGTAAAGAGCTCAGGGCTGATGGCCTGCCCAGGTGGCTTCCTCATTGGTAAGGAATAGGAGGAGACTCAGAACCTGGGGCCACACTGAAGGTGGGGACTTGGGTGGGGGAGAAGCTGGGGGGAGTTTTGTGAGCCAGGGGATAATGGTCTTTTAGTTTTGTTTCTTGTGTGTAGGTGCAGCCTTTGCAAGAACTTACTTGGGGAGTTGCACTGGGGGAAGAGGGAATGTAGTTAGTAGCTGTGGCTAGTGGTTTCTGAGTTTGACAGTCTCCATTGGGCTGCTTTATGGAAAGTTGTCTTCTGATCAGGTCCAGGCACCTGATTTTAGAAATCTGAAATGCTACTGTTTCTTCGTCTGCTTCAAAGCCCTTCCTGGGGAAAGTGCTGTTTTGCATTATTTATGATGTTGTTTAATCCAGAACACCAATTCTAACAAAGCATTGGTGTTCACCTACCTGCAGAATACAACAGCATGTACTTAAAAACCCAAAGCTGAGTCCCTCAGCCCTCAGAGGTGTCTCTTTGTGGTGGTGGGTCAGACTCTGGCCCCAGATTTATGCTCTGTTTAGTGGTCTTCTGTTTAGTCTTACTTGTGAAAGTGAACTGTAAAGATTTTTCACTCATGTACTTGTTACACTTTAATACATAGATAAGTCATGTTTAAGCACCTGGCTCAGGTCTAGCAAGGACAGAGGAACAAATTCATGAGTCAGAAGTCTGATAATACAGGAATACCTCAGGAATATTGTGGGTTTGGTTCCAGACCACCACAATGAAGTGACTATCACAGTAAAGCAAGTCATGTGACTTTTTTGGTTTTCCAGTGCATACTGTTTACACTATACTATAGTCTGTTAAATATGCAACAGCATTATGTAAAAGTTTTAAATATGAGAATTACCAAACTGGGACAGACACGAGGTGAGCATATGCTGTTGGAAAAATGGCATAATACACTTGCTTGATGCAAGGTTGCCACAAACTTTCAATTACTAAAAAATGCAGTATCTGCAAACTGCAATAAAGTGAGGTATGCCTGTATTGCAATTTTGAAGGATAATCCTTTATTTTACTTGAGATCATAGGTTTTTCAGTTGGTAGGTAAATCTCTGGGTTTGTGATATGAACTGTGAGGCAGAAACTGTTCTGGAATTTGGATGGATCACCTGAATTCTTTTGATGGTCAGTGGCTTGGAGAACATCTCACGGATGGACCCAAGCCACCAAATGGCTTGTTCCTTTCTGCAAGGGCCAGTGTGAGGGACTGCTGTGCAGATCCAAGCAAGCCTACCCTGGTGCTACAAGTTGTCATTTGCTTTTCCTGAAAACCTCACAGTAGGCTGCTTCCTCCTGTTCCTGGCAACAGGCTTTGTTTACACTCTGAGCTGCCTTGGTATGGGTCATCGGCAGAGTGCCCTCCTCCCCTGCTTGCCTCCCCATGCCAAGGTCTGGTGGGGCTGCAGTCTTGGAAAGCTTGGATGCTTGTGGGGACTTCTGGTTTCTCCCTGCAAAGACCAGCAGAGACTGGGAGAAAAAACTGCTTCAATCTCAGTCTGGTTCTTCAGCAAATGGCAAGTGGAAGCAACTGATTTTGGTGCTCAGGCTGGCCTTAGTACCCAGGCCAGGCCAGAGCAGCAGGTCTGGCCTAATGGATCTTCCCTCACGGGCACCATGGCTGCACTGGATCATACAACTGTCTTGAGATACCCTCAGACACTGTCATCTTGGGCCTAAAAGAACTTGGTTGCTTGGCAAGCCAGTGTCCTTTGGTTTTAGAATTGGTCAGTAGTAGAGACATAAATCATGAGGCAATCTCCTTTCTGACCATTCTTCTCCACCAAACTTGCCTGTCACAGACAAGGAAGTAACCTTGGTGATATACTTGCTCAATAAAGATGATTGAGGGCAGCATGACCACAACTGCCTTGGACTGGGGGCATCCATCTGTGAGAACATGGGGGACATTCCTGCTGTCATTGTTTGGAGATTTGGGTAGTAAATTCCTGACAACAGGGAGTCTTGTACAAAGACTGACTTGCCTAAACTATGTCAACATGATTCCTGTCTGAGCCAAGCTGGCACCTGTCCCGCATTCTCTGGAGCTAATCCTTTAGGCAGAGTGCCCTTGTTTTGAGGCTCTCTAACCCTGGCTTTAGCTTTCTCCACTTAAGTAATACCAGCTAGTCCCAGAAACTTGCTGCCCCCCAGTGGCTTTCTAGGGGAAACAGGGCCTCAGATCATGCTTAGTGAGCCATGGCATCCTCATTACTGGATGGGGACAGCCTCTTTTCTGTCTGTGCAGTGAAGACTTCTCCCAGGAACCCTCCTATGGGAGGGAAGCCAGAGACTCCTGACAGCACTCAAGCTTCATGGTGGAATTAATTTCCACTAGGTCTTTGTTGTCTGTGTTCTAAAATCCTTCTCCTGGGGTGCTAATCCCTTTTGCACTGGGTATGTGTATGATGTTGTCAGTCCTTTAATGCTGGCAAAACTTCATGGGTACATAAACAGTAGTGAGCACATTGGAGTGGCACAGAGTGGTTTTTAATCCTTTATTTTTAAGCCTACAGAAGGAAACTAAATTAAGAAGATGACTGGTATTAGATATGTAAGTCACTGTCACTTTCAACACTGAATTGTACCTTTGTGAAACCAAGTCGTTGTTGCTTTAATTAAACACACCCACACACACACACACACACACACAAAAAAAAACCTCACTGCCATAGAGTCAGATGCGACTCATAGCGACCCCTCCTTGGGTTTCCGAGGTGGTATCTCAATGGAAGTAGATTGCCCAATCTTCCTTCTGAGTGGTGGCTGATGGGTTTGAACTGCCAGCCTTCTGGTTAGCAGTTAAATGCCTTAGACACTACACCACCAGAGAGTAGGGCCTAAATATACATAAAATTTAGCCTCACTTTGGCAGATTAATAACTCCATGTTGATAGGAACTAATGCAGGTAAAGACGTACAAAATGGACATCACTTAAATCGAGTGAGCTCTCGAATGGGTGAAGGTGGGACAGAAGAGTAGAAATGCTCATAAAATCTTAAGAGGAATAGGTTGGGAAGAAGGCATCTCACTTGTTCACCCTCCCCCATAATAGTGAATCTGATAAACTGTGCCAGGGAAAGAGGGCACTTTGATCAAAGGTTTTGTGTATCGTTTTCCTAGACCTGCACTGTCCACTGCAATAGCCACTAGCAGGTAGCTAGTTAAAGTTTTCGCTCCTCCATCACAATCAATTTCAAGTGGTCAACAGCCACCTATGGCTGGTGGCTACTATCACCCCATGCAGATATACAACAATTTCATCACTGCAAAAAGTTCTACTGGATAATGTCACACTAGGGAAAAATGCCAAGTCAATCAGAGTTAAGGCAGCTGAGGTATGAAGAGGAACAGGGACAGTGAATTTGCTTTCAGAAAATAAAAATTCTAGTAACAAACTGGTCTTGTTGATAGCTTGTTTTTGGTAAGCATTGTGAACAGTAAGCATTTCTCAATGGAAAGTTAAGTTCAGGGTGTACTTTCCTTTTCTTCACTTGCCTTTTGTCTTCTGTGTCAAATGTCATTCAGAAACTTCTTACTCCACCCCCTATTTTGGGGGGTTGGGGCTAGAGTGAGAAAATGCATAAGAAGTCAGGTTGAGAGGGCTTTATTGGTTTAAAAGGAATTACTTGCTCTCAATATTCAAAGTCAGTCTTTACTAAAGACAGAGTTACCACATTTATATACATTGCTCCTTGGCACCACTGCCAAAGGAAGATGACAATCTTCATAGCCATTATCAGAGCCAAGAAGCAGGAAAGTGTGACAGTTGTCAACTACCCCCCCCAAGGCAAATTCTACTTTTTACTCTTACAGCCATTACTTTTCAGTCTGTGCTGCTACAAGGGGTTTACTGTAGGCCTGTCAGACTCCCTCTATCAAAAGGAACAGGCTTAGTGGGCAGCCTAGCAACATGGGTAGCATAGGGAAGCTGAAACTCGTTGCTGACAAAACAGTCAGGGGTCCCTCCTCCTTTATTGGTTTCAGAGTAGAATGGGAAAGTGTTTACCAGACAAAATGCCTGGATTGTGAAGCTAAAGGAAGCTTCATTTTTACAGTATTGTTTTAGACTGTAGGGTCACTTATGATCAAAGCAAAGGGGCCCTACTGTTAGCAGAAAAGACTCATGCCCTTAGCATAGTCTTCACTGTGGAGGGATGGTGCTGTTACATATACTTTCCCCATAAACACGTTAACTAGAAAATCCAAGAGGATGTTACTAGGGCAGCGAATGCTGCAGTCACAGAGCCCTCAAGACCTGTGGCAGAACTTGGGGACAGTCTCAGGATCAGTCTGAATCCAGGGAGCTGTCATAGTCAAACTCCTTCTGCACATCCAAAGGGTATTTGTTGCTCCAAATATGTGGTTTTCTACTGCCTCGTTCCTCTTCACTGAGGTTGTCATCTTCATCAGAACCTAGAGTGAGATACTAGGAGTGAGCTCTCGATGTATTATTTTCTAGGCTACCATGAGAGCCCTTCCCTTTGCAAAGAATGTTTTTGTTCCCCATTAGAAAATAATTGCTCAAAACAGAAAGTAGAAGTTCTTTTTAAAAAAGTAACCATCTAAATTCCCTTAATACTGGAGTATTTTGTCACTCTCCCACTCTAGTATAGGATTTTTGTTATAACATTTATAGTTAATTGTAAATAATTTTGTACGTTGCCCCTTTTCCTATTAACATATCATAGCCACTAACCTAATAAAATATTCCCATTTTTTAAATTAACTATTCCTGTCATGAGACATCAAGAAATTCTTTTTATTGGCACCTTGAACATAGTCATCAAAAGGATTGTGTTGCCCAAGTACCCTTCCTCTTCCCCTAGGTACTATGCCTGTGTCACATCTTTCTCCAGATGGTCATAAATGTAGCAACTACATGAAGTTAGATAACTGACTTGTATAAACCCCGGGCTTACTCCTATACCTGGTTCATTGTGTACCTGTGATCACAAACTGACCAGCTGAATCTCTCCAAGTTTATCTAGTCCTTTCACTTACTCTCAACCATTGATAAAATGTTTTCTCATTTTCTGGACGAAGAAAACTGAAGGTCACTGAGGTGAAGTAATTTGTCCAACACCTAGCTAGGCAGTGACAGAAGTAAGGATTTGAACCCAAGCCTGAGGGCTTTAGGCCCCCAGTATTCCTCCTGCAAACACTGGGCCTTGGGTCTCCTAAATTTCCAGCGACTTGTGGTCAAGCTGTAGGTGCTCCATGGCAGAGAGGAAAGCTGGTCAAGATATGTCCGTCAACTGGGTCAACTGGGCTCACACCACAGCTTTAGATTCTACCAGTCCCTCCCCATCTGGGGCTGCCCCTCACCTGTGTAACCTTCCTCGTCATCACTGCTGTCCTCCTCTGGGTACTCATTGCGCCAATTACTCTCACTGTTTTCATCATCTTCATCATCATAAACATCCTCAGGTTGTTCATCATCATTCACCTGCACATCTCAACACAAATATGAATCTAAAGTCAAAATACCTAAGGTTATGCTTTTTGGGAGAAGCTATTAGCAGACCAGCTTGGGGAGATGTCATTTATGGATGCTATGTGAAAAAGAGGCCAACTAAGAATTAATTAGATTCTGTTGCATAAAAGGTTATAGTGTTCTAAGCTATGAAGCAGGGAGCCCTACCCTACTCAGAATTCAGTTCCAGGTACCCCATTCCTGGCAGAAGAGGCTGAACTCCACCAGAAGGGAAAACCCCAGGGTGGGGAGGCGCAATGGCTGAAGGCACCCAGATGGGAGAGGGAATTACAGATTATGGGTGATACCAAGGTCAGAACCAAAACCCAAAGGTGTGGGGTGCAGGAGGAGTAGCACTGCAGTGGTCCCACGTGGGTACCTGATTGTGGCTGCGAGGTATAAGGTGCTTCTCTCACGCATATAATGGTTCATTTTTGTCAATCATTTTAGAATTTGTTTTTTAAAAAATGCCAGGTTGGTAGCTTTCTTCATGCACAGTTTTCCAGATATACAAGTTTTTAAAATGCGTTTTTCTTTTTCTTGTTAAGAAGTTTTGGTTTGTCTTTATTTTATTATAAGCCCCCTCACCTTTTTTTTCTGGAAATGGGGTAGATATAAAATTCCCTTTACTAATTCCAGGTTCCTAAAAGGCTCTTAGAATAAATTTTCCCTTTTAAGCAGGGACAAGAACTAAGAACACTCAATCAGAGTGAGTCCAGGGGGAGAGAGGCACCCTGACTGGAGAATCAGCTTAGGCTGCCTCATGCCTCTTCCTCATGGGCCCTCTTACCAGCTCCCACTCCTGGCTGTAGGGCTGAACAGAGAGGATGTTCTCAATCCACCCTGGCGTGGCCATCTCCAGGTAGTAAATGTCATACACATAGTCACCATCCTTTTCTTCCTCTTGGTGCCCAATTCCTGGTCCTTCCTCAGAGATGGTCAACCGCTCACGGATCAACTCTGTGGAATTGCAGAGGATCACATCTGGGTCAGATGTCTGTAAAGAAAACACAGCAACTGGTACGTGCAGGACCCAAAAAGTGGAATGTTTCAAGGAGGGAAAACCTTAAAGTGGTGTGAAAGAAGGCTCCCTACAGTTCTATGTTGGATTCAGAATTCTTATCCCCGTGGACTACCAGTCTATTGGTAGCTATAAACTTAAAAACAATTCTTGTAAAATTAATGTGTAGTTCTTCTATTGAGGTAGAAACTTACAAGACAGCCTTCTGCTTTTTTGTGCTTAGCTGACACAAAAGAATATATGGAAGGACTAGGCTGAGAAGGGAGGGCCATAGGGCTCGTCCCCAGGCTCTGAGTCAGACCTGCTTGAACAGGCCTTCTCTGAGCAGCTTTAGTATGACGCTGTCCCCTTGGGGACTCTTAAGCCCACAGCAGTGCCTCCATGGCTGATCCCCAAATAGTTCTGTGTTTTGTACAGCCTCTTATAGGGAGCCCATGGGTGATTCCTAGACCTCGTGACCACTACCAGCCATCACCTATCACTTAGCTTGCCCTATACAGGAGTGGACTCACTACAACTTAATTTCTGCTTCAAAGAACAGCTTGAGATGGATTGCCCCAGATTAGCACTGGCCCAGGTACCAACAGGTTGTGTTATCCAGGGCTTGATAGCACAGGTCAGTTTGAAACCAGGGGGACATGCTGCAGATGGCAGCTCCAGACACGTTCATCACAAGTGGCTGCCAAGCTTGAACCAGACACTAGGGGTGTGAGGGGTGTCCATGGCCAAAGTAGGCAAAGGTTCTCCGTCATTTATAGGCTAAAGGGAATTCTTCTGGCTATGCAAAAACTAGACACAGTTTTTGTGCAGGCTTTTGACCAACCTCAAAGCTTTATGAGGAAAGTTGTGGGTCAACCTCACAAGCCCCCCAGTCACTGCCATTGAGGCAATTTTGAATCATAGTGACCCCCACTGGGATTCTGAGGCTGTCAGTCTTTACAGAAGTGAACTGCCCCATCTTCCTTCTATGGAGCTGGTGGGTTTGAACCACTGGCCTCCTGGTTAGCATCCAATTGCTTTATCCACTACGCTATCAGAGCTCCTTCAACATGCCCCAGCCTGGAAAATTATGCAGCCATTAAAATGTTTACAAAGACTAGCAATACAGAAAAATGGCCAGACATAGAATTACATAATGGGAAATAAACCAGTTTTACTCCAGCTGCCTTTGGACTGGAGTAAAATAGGTGAAGTTCCCCTGCCCCACCTTCTACTTCCTCCCCCTGCTGAAAGAAGTATTATTTTAAGTCTATGTCCATGTATATGTTTCTCCATATTTTCAACTATACTACATATAGCATTTTGTACATATGTAAGTATTTTTCTATATTGTCAGTTTCCTTGGCTATCAATTTAATGGTCAAGGTGTTAATTTCTTAGATTCAATGTTTAGCCTCTATACACAATGTTGCAACAAATGGGCCCCTTCTTATATTTGGAAAATTAGGATAACACTATCTACCTCATAGGGTTTTTGTTAGGATTAAATGAGTTAAATTGAAAGAAAATATTTAGCACAGTGCTTGATAATGAGTACTTAGTAAACAGTAGCTTTTGTTAATATGGTTTGTTTCTGTTGAATTAGTTCTCTAGAATAAATCTTGTGGGTGGGATTACTAGATGAAAGAAACTGCACTTTTAATTATAATTTTGTAGATTTTCTATTAAATTGTACTTCATTTGCTTAAAACTTAAACCATGTCAATTTAAGGAGAAATCCACTATAATGGGGCATAGAAATGTTAGTTTAATTTTAAATATCTTTAGATTTTTGGATGGCTTTAGATTCCAACCAACAAAAAGAACATTAATATATTTTTAGATAGGCCCCAGGGTATTTACAGGGTTCATGATATGTAAATCCAAACTGTTTTCCCAAAGGCTTAGCCTCAATTTAAAGCACTATAGCCTTGTACCATTTTAATCACAGCCTTGCTAGCAGTGTTATCGACTACCCTTTTTCCTGCTAGTCTAGTAGACATAACATAGTACTTACTCTGTATAAACATTTTTTGTGTTTACAGTTTATACTGCTAGATTTGAAAAATCTGTTCATATTCTTTATCAGTTTATTTACCAGTTTTTCCAGTAAAATCAAATGAGCTATTTATTTTGATTCCACTGAACATTGGTTTACTTTTAAAAATTTATAACTCATGAATCAGTTTGGAATTAGTTTTGGTGAAAGATGTGGTTATGGATATCATGCCCACATTGCTATTCAGGTACCCCAGCACCATGATTAGATATTTTATGCTTGCTCTATTTTGAATTAAATGTTCATTTTTTAAAACTTCAGAAAGTATTAAATTTTTTTTTTTTTTTAGTATTTATTAATGGGGCATGCCTTCAGTTGAGAATTTTCTATTTCTGTGGTCTTTCTGGGTGTCCTAAGTAGACCTTATTTTTTGGAAGTGAGGTGTAAAACAAAGTTAGTATACTCAAATGTAATACAGTGGAAAAAATACTGCATTAAATGTGAGAAGACTTATATTCTACACTCAAATCTGCCTCCAACTTGATGTGCTTCTCAGGTCTAGTTCTCTTTGATCAGTTTTCCCATCTGCTCTATCTCTCCTTTGCTCAAAATGTCAGCGATTCCCCATCTCAGGGTGAAAGGCATTGTCCTTACAAGTACTTACAAGGTCTAGCTGGTTGCCTCCCCACAAGTTCCTTACCAGTAGTATCTCACAGCTCACTGGGCTCCAGAACTTCCTTGCAAATATAAGGCAAACTCAGCTACAATGGCTGTGCACTTGCAGGTCCTCTGCCTGGCATGCTTGTCCCCTAGGGTACCCACAATGCCCGGCCACTCACCTCATTCATGTCTTCATTCACATGTTACCTTCTCAGTGAAACCTCTGACCATACTATTAGAAATGTCACTACCTTTTTCCTACCTTGTTTTATTCCCCCACATCCCTTATCACCATCTTCTAAAACCGAATTTCCTTGTTTAGCGTTTCTCTCCTTTACCTGAACGTTAGATCCTCAGGAAAGGGATTACTCTCCATTTTGTTCACAGCACCTAACAACAATGCCTAGCACATAGCGACTGCTCAGTAAATACTTATTGGATGAATAAGCAAATCCATAAAATGAGGCCATCACGTCTCAAGGATCATCCATCCCTCCGGTGAAATCATATGCTGCCTCTTGACTGTGTACTGCTCTCGGGCCCGACTCCTGACACTATCCTTCCAAAGAAGCCTAGCGTCCGCCTCTCGGCGTATACTTACTTGGCAAGAACCCGCGGCGATGGCCTCTGAGTCTCCCTCCTCGCGGACTAGGTCGAAGAGTTGGAAGCCAGCGTCGCTGGCGGTTTCTGGTTTCTCCGGCGTATCCTCGGACTCTGGGCAGCCCAGGGGCGTCCCCGAGGATCTGCGAGTGAAGACCACCCGGTAGCGGGCTTCTTGCCGGTTCTCCCGAGCCGAGGCGCGGAGGTCGCGGCGGATGCGCTGCTGGCTGTCTCGAGACGGACGCAGGGCAGCCCGCAAGAGCGGCTGGACTGGTTCCTCCTGGGGGACGGTAGGGAGGGAGCTAGCATAAGTAGGGGTCGTGAAGGGGTCAGGGATCCAGTTTCATCCTGTCAGCGTTCCGAGATCCTCTCCCCACCAGCTACATTCCCTGCCCAATACCTGAGAGCTCACGGTGGCCACCAGCTGGAAGACATTATTTTCCGCCGCTGTCGGCAGACCATCGGAGGGAGTCCTCTGAGGCGCTGATTCGACTGTGCCGCCCCGGAGCCGTTTACAGGCGAGGACAAGCGCCTCAGCGGGCTCCGCACTGCGCTTCCGCTTCACTCGGAGAACCGCCGTCCTACCGGCCTCCATAGCGGCTGCCGCGGAGCACTATGGGAGCGCGCGTTCTGGAGCGTCTTCAAGTTCCTCTACCGGGCCCCTCCCCCGGCTCGTCATGGGGCGCAAGGAGGCCACGCCTCCTCACGCCGGTCCCGGAAAGATGGCGGTGGTGGCAGAGAAGAACAGAACCGGTTCAGCGGCGGGTGAGGCGCTGGGCAGGTTGGGAAGGTGGGGTCGTGGGAGCATCTGGCTTCCTGTCCGTAACCCCAGGGCTCCGGAGTCTTAGGACACCGGCGTACATATCTTGGGACTCTCGAAGATCTTTCCAGAGTCCGCGTGGGACGGCTTGGAGGGCCTTGGCTGTGGGGAGATCTTAGTCTCCGGTCCGCCTTAGCTGTGCTGCCCAGCCGCATAGTGGTTGCTCTCCGGGGCCATGGCGGAGCAGGCCTATGAGGGCCTGGAAGATCAAATACTCGTATTCATGTCTGGCGCCACCCCTCAGTGACAGAGACCAGGACCGCCATCGCACCCCTAACTAGACCACTGTTCTCTGATTCGGGGAACTGCTAATGGGCTCGTCTTCCCCAGTCATTGTGTTCTGAGTAGTTGGAAACCAATCTTTAGCACCCGCTAGGCAGCGCGGACCAGTGAAAGTACACTCGACTAGGACTTTTAAAAACCATTGGGTAGCTCCTACTGCACTTAAAACAGAATTCGAACATCTTTCAGAAACCGAGACCCTGTGTGATTTGCAGAAGCTCACCTCTAATCTGTCATTTCTTCTGTTCAGAGTGCTCAGTCACACAGGCTTTTGACAGTTTCTGCTTGTTCATCTGGTTCTTTACATTTTAGGACCTTTCCTTAGAAAAGCTGGGGTAAGGAAAGAAAAGCACCACTCTTCTCCAGCTTTTAACTTGGCTTATCTTGTAGGTCTCTACTTAAATGACACTCGTCAGGGAATCCTTTTTCATAGAACCCTGTGTATTTCTTTTCTAGCCCTCACATAGACTGTAATTGCTTCTGTATACTCTCTCTCCCCCATTAGAGTTTAAACTCCTATAGGGCGGAACCTGGTCTGCTGGTCCATGGTGGTTGCCTCTGTACCTAACACAGTGCCTGGCATATCATAGGTACTTAGTAAATTTTGAATGAATGGACTAAACATCTGCTCTAGTATTGCAAACAGGGCTTGAAACAGTGGTTTCTTTGCTTTCCTTGTAAATGACCCTGTGAGTCACAGCTTTTGAAGAATGAACAGGCACTTTGTGAACCTGAAGGAATGTGGGCTCCTGAGAGAGAACAAGGCACAATGATAGATGAGGGGCTTTATCTGTAGAAGGTAACAGTGCTCACTCAATTGTAAAATTGTTAGTAGCACAGGACCTAATTCTGTCCTCAAGTGTTTAGGTTTACAGAAACCAGTGCCTTCTCTATAGTTCTGAAAAGACAGATGCTGTAGTCCCAGTTACTGCCTCATTGACATAATAGAAAAGGTGAGAATTCCATTGATTAAAGTTCTTTACTACTCTTAACTCTTAACCCTGAAATGACTTTAGAATCCTTTTGTTGGTTCATTTGGACCACAAGATAAAAGTTTCAAGATTCTCCACAAGATGGACCCCCTCAGTTGCCTTTTGACTCCTTGTCCAGTTTCACTTCAGCCAAACTGGTCTGTTCACTGTGAATGACTGTTTAAGCCTTTCTAATCTGGTAAAATGTCTTTCCTTCCCTGTGCCCCCCCACCCCCACCCTACCCATCTTTTAAGCCTTCCGTGACCGTTCAGCCAGATGTCATTTCATTCTCTGTACTATAGCATTTGTTGGACAGTTTTCCAAAGTATGTCACAGATTCTGGTAATGTTGGTACTCTGTCATTTTTAATAAATACTAATATACAAGATGCACAGAGCTAATTATAGCAATGCTTGTCAATGGTTGCAGATTGCAACCCGTTGGTGAATTATTAAATCAATTTAGTGGGTCATGACCAGCAATTAAAAATATAAAAATGAAATAGAAAAATATCAGCATTGCTTATACAAAGGCTAAATATTGTGAAACTTTAAGTTACATATATGTGTGTATTGAGTATGAAGTATGTTTCTTTCTGGAGGTGTCAAAAAGTTGAAGAGCCACCAGTTAGAGGATAGACATGCTAGGATTTCAGCAATGGAATTTTACTGAAGGCAAAAACAGGCTGGGCTTTTAGAAGCGGAATTTTACCAAATGACACATTGACTACTTTGAATTAGGCCAGTGAGTGCCTGAGCTATTTCAGAAAAGTTTCCTATCCCCCTGTATAAGAATCAATGTTTACTTCGTCTGTATTTGTGACTAGATAACTTCAGAAGAAAACCAACAGTTCTGGCCCATTAAATGCCTGAGGAATAAACATTCCACAGAAACCTGTGGGGTTGGCATTTGTGTAAGGTTTCCTGAAAGTGTGCAGTGCCTAAAAGAAATGAAGCTGAGTGCTGTTTTCTGACTGGAAGTGGGGAGGGCACTGGGGAAGCACATACCTGCTGGGATGTGCCCTTAAACTTGGAGCTGTTTCTTTGCCTACCAGAAATAGATCCCTTTGGGGAAACACACCACACGGGACAGAAATCTGGTGACAGTTTATTTATTTGAAGCAAATTATTTTTTAGGTGAAAAGGATTTTTAAAAATTATTTTTTAATTAAAATATCCAGTAGATAAAAATAATCATTATAAAATATATGTGAGACTTGAAGAATGACCGTATCATGAACACTTGTATACCCACACTTTAAGAAAAAGAACATTACTGTTATTTTTGAAAGGTGCTCTGGTGGTGCAGCAGTTAAGCACTCCGTTGCTAGCTGTGAAGCCACCCAGCGGCTCCATGGGAGAATCACTTGGTGATCTGCTGTCATAAGGATTGTTAGGTGCTGTCGAGTTGGTTCCACCTTAGTAATCCTAAATGAACAGAAGAAAACACTGTCCAGTCCTATGCCACCATCACAGTCGTTGCTGGGTTTTAGCCCCTTGTTGCACCCACTGTGTCATTCCATCTTGTTGAGGGTCTTCCTCTTTTTCACTTACCCTGTCCTTCGCCAAGCATGACCTCCTTCTCCAGGGTCTGGTCCCTCCTGATAAAATGTCCACAGTATGTGCGTCAAAGTCTTGCCATATTCTCGCTTCTAAGGAGCGTTCTGGCTGTGCTTCTTCCAAGAGAGATTTCTTCATTCTTTTGGAGGTTCATGGTATATTCAGTGTTCTTTGGCAGCACTATAATTTAAGTGCATCAGTTCTACTTAGGGCTTGTTAATTGTCCAGCTGTTGTGTGCATATGAGGCCATTGAAAGTACCATGGCTTGGGTCAGGTGCACCTTAGTCCTCAAAGTGACATCTTTGCTTTTTTTTTTTTTATTATTAGGATTTGGGTGAAGATTTACAGAGTAAATTGACTTTTCATACAGCAGTTCACATATACTTTGTCTCATGTCATTGACCAAAATTTACAATGCAGCAGCTCCCCTCCCACT